ACGAGCTCTTGACTTACCACGGGTAGAATTAGCTGTAAGAAAGATATTTGGGAGATAGCCTCAAACTTTTCAACCGCGCCAAGCACACCTTTTCGTTTTTGAAGCATTTTTTCTGCTTCTGCTCATTGCAGAAGCCGCAAGAAGCGCGGCAGTTTTCAGCCATGAAGTCTCCACCTTTTCCTTTGCATAGGCCTTGTTTCTTAAACTCTTGACACATTGGATGGTAGTCAAGGCATGCTTAAAAGGAATATTTGCTTTCAATTCGGGATAAACAATCGTATAAGGTATTTTACCAGTTGAGGAGATGTTGAATGTTGGCGTACAAACTCCGCAACTTGGTCCACAGTAAACTCCCATGTATTCAGCTTGTTTGTTGCACTGTCCTTTTTCTGCCCAAAGACTGCAGCATGGCGACCTAGACATATGTGAGATATAGGTAAAATTCCAAAGATCTTAAGCAAGACGCCACCAAAAGTTGCACTTTAAGCTAACCTATTGAAGCAATTAACGAATTTTGGTGCAAGCATTTTCGTTGGCTCTGGTTGAACTTCTGTGTCTTCTGACAAAAGGCTCATTGTCAAAGAGGCGTTTATTGGCTTCATATCTTTAGCTGTTTTTGAGCCCCAAGCTCGTGGGCCACCCTAAAATCAGGGTTTAACTTTCATATTCTCAGTCGTACATTTATCAGTGACTCACTGGAACACAACGTCCCCACCAGCATCTCCCTTGATAGCATGCATCAAAGTTCTCAAATCCTTGGCAATTTCCGTTCAGCTTGATCTTGGCAACACAGTGTGGATACCTGATATAGTTCCTTAGGATCATGTTTGTCAGAAAAATCTTAGTACGGTTTACCCTCTGGTATCACAGAACAGATATGGTGAGCCACAATTGGGATTTTGGAATGAGCAGCTAGGACGAGGAGCGTAACGGTACATCTGATCGGTATACGAGTTTGATAGACCTGAAATTTAAATTTCCGCGGGTGAAAGCATATAAATGCAGTGCCAAGTTA